AGTGCTCTAACCGAGCTGCCCACCCAGGACTAAAAATGAGATTTTTGATAAAGTTGTGATCTTCTCAGCTTCCCATTTTTTTAAACAGTGATGAGATTAATGGTGATACTAGCGAACATGATTTGATACAAATATTTTTAAAAGTGTCAAGTTTGGAATATCTAAATAATTCATACTACCAATCTTCCAACTGACCATTACACAATGTTACAAAATCATGCATGGGTACAAGATTCATTCCAAGTGGAAGACAGGCCATTGGATTTTGCTCTTACATGTACAAAAAGTTTGCCATGGTTTCAGATAGCAACTAACTTTTAAGAAATTATCATTTCTTGAGTTTTGGCATAGTATCAAAGAACATCCACAGCTATCTAAAAAGGTTATTAAAATATTCCTTTTTCCAATTACATTATCTATGTGACACTAGACTGCCTTCATATGCTTCAACCAGAACCTACACAACAGATTCACGAAGATGCAGATGCAAAAATCCAGCTATCTTCCATTAAACCAGATATTAGAGATCTGTAAAAATGCCACAAATGCCACTATTCTCCCTAAAACATTTTTCAAGTTATTCCCCACCTAAAATATTGTTAATGTTTATTATTCTGCCTAGAAATAAAAAAATAAAGTTGGTGTAAAGTAATATTCTCAACACTCACAAACTTTTCAAAAAGAGCTATTTTAACTCTTAAAATTTCTTAAAGAGATGACTGAATAATCTAGATTATCATATGTAAGCCATTCAGATAATTGGCTAATATTGCAAATATGGCAAGTTTTATTTTAAACAGTGGTTTCTTCATGTTATTAGCTAAGAAACAAGCATTTAAAAAGGTCATAATGTACATGTTGACTATCATTAACACTACTGTATATTTCAAAGTCATTAATACAGTAGATCCTAACAGCTCTCATCAAAGGGAAAATGTTTTTCCTTTTTTCTTTTTGTATCAGTATGAGACAATGGATACTAACTAAACTTACTGTGGCTATCATTTCACAATATATGTAAGTCAAATCATTATGCTATACACTTTAAATGTATAGTGCTGTATGTCCATTATATCTCAGTAAAACTAAAAAAAGTGGGTCAGTTAAGTAAATTTCTTATTATAAATCCTGGCATAGATTTGATTGAGAAGTAGGATCACCAGCTGGTTGGTCTTTATAAGGGTTTTTCTAGAAGATATATTTTTATTTAAAATTTCTCATTGTCTGGGGTATTCGTTCCTCTTGGAGAAAAAGACAATGCCTCAGATCTTCCTAGAAAAGTTGAGCTAGCAAAGACCAATAATCCTTTAGGTTCTCTATTCCAAAAGGGAAAAAAATCCAAATTCTGCCTGACTTCCTGGGAGAATCTATGAAAAGACTGGCGATCTGCCAGATATATACACAATTGGTAGATTCATACCGTATACACAGTAATGGTAAAGGTAACAGGCATTTCCTGTATTAACTCATTCAATCCTCATAATCCAGAGAAATGAAAGGATACATAATTTGTCCAGAACAACTCAATATCAACCCACAGAATCATCAAAAACAGGTCATTTGGCCAAAGAAATTAGGCTTAGTTGCCTCAAATGCTTGCAGTGTCCCTGCAGACCTATGCGCCCTCTCCTCCTGTATCTGCTGCAGCTGGCCCTTTTGTCTATCAGTAGCATTAGTCTATTCCCAGAAAATACAGCCCTTACATAGTAAAATCCTGTGCCTATAAAATGCCCTGAAAAGAGAAAGTCTTATCGATAGCTTATGAGTTCAGGTGAGAGCAGTGGAAGGCCATTAGGTTATACCCTTCACCTGTCTTTCCTTAATTATTATGAGCAGAATACCAGCTAGCTTTCCATTTTTGCTGCGATTTGGCATTCCCACCCCCGCTAGGTGCCAACATACGTGAAAGAACCACTTGCAATACATCTAACACAACTTTTAAAAATATTGAAAAGTAGCTTTAGAAGCTACTTTCTAGCTTTTCTGTTCTGGAAAAGTTTCTGTAAGTAAACTGTTGACTAAATTAATAACTGACAAAAATCTCAAAACAACATTGAACAAAAGTAGTCAGATGTAATTTTTATTGGGTGCTTCCATTTATATAAAGTATAAAAGCAGGCAAACAATCTGTGGTATCAGAGGTTAGTAATGGTGCTGTTATGACTGCAAGTAGGAACAAGGGGACTTACGGGATTCTAGAAATGGTTTTCCCTGATCCGAGCTCAGATTAAAAAGGCTATTGCTATTATTCACTTGGTGCACTTTCGGTATCATGTATCATTATTTTGTCCATCCAAATACGAAATTTCTTCTGTCACATCTCGAGTATTTTCTTTTTCTCTATAACCTCCCTAAAATGGTTCTAATTCTTACCAGCCTCCTCCATATCTGCTCCCCTGCCCTGCTCATCTTAGATTCTGCAACAGTATCTTTCATCATTATACTCTTTTAAAAATTCCTATTGTTGTACATACAAATTGTACGGTATAGTTTAATGCAAGTTTTTCAATCAAGTACACAGTCGAATACACACTTATCTTCTTCATTCAGAAAAGGAGTGCAGCAATTGTCATCTTTCTTGGCCCCAGGACTGGACAATTGCTCTTGGGGGCAGCGGGGATACATGCTGTAACATCCATTTTCTTGAGGTTCCTGTATCCTCTTTTAATCTCTTAATGAAATTCGTTTCCATTCCCCATCATTTTTCAAATTGTATTGCACAATAAGAGAATTACATTGCACACCAAATTGTATCACGGAATGAGCATTTCACACTCTGAGTTTTATACTACATGTATTTACATGTTTTCTGGGTCACAACTGTTCTACAAAGGCTAAAATGTCACCACCTCCACAAAGGGTTTATTCATTGAGTACCAGCCCTAAGGGGTTTCTGTAAAAGTTATGATTCACTAAGATCATACCTATTGAGCAGCCCAACAGGTATATGACATTATATTTGGCAATATATTCTTACAGCCCTGGTATCTTACTTAAGAGTAAATTCTCCATATAAAAGTATTTATTAACCAGTTAACTTATCTTTTTGACTGGTTGCCAACAGGGCTTGAAAATCTTGCTGCATGAATACTTGATAAAACTTTACAAATTGATTAACATTTGAAATAGATAAAATAGGTTTATAAAGTTAAATCCAACATATAGCATCTGCTTGTGGTAGCTTTCTCATATCCAATTTTTAAGTGCAAAGTAATAGGTTATCTCCTACATGTCTTCCAGAGTGAGTTATGGTAATTAAACATCATGTTTGCCTCTAGACAAAATTTTAATTAGACACGCAAGTAGGAGAAAACCACTTTTAATTGAAAAATAAAGCAATACATCTCAAATAAGACTTTGCTTAACAACATAAACTGTAATCTGTTGAGGGAAATCATTTTTCCTAAGTGGTATTGTGAGATTTAGATATCAGAGTATCAATAGTTCCCCTCTTTTATCCTGACTCAGCTACAAGGACTTTTTCATGAATTTAAACTGTAAATCTGTAAATCCCTATTCTTAATCCACTGGCAAGAGGAGGGGAGACTTTATAAACAAACATTTCCACACTGAGGAGTTCCCAGATAACAGCAAATAAAGTCAGTATTTTCTTTATGAAAAAGTTCATATGAAAGACACACGACTATTAATGATATTGAACTAACCACATAATTTCAAAACACAATTTCATCAAGATGACCTCTACTACAATTTTCCTTTGAAGTTCTCACATCCCAAGATGGTTTAACTGGACATACTGGAAAGTATTAAACTTTGAAAGAAAGTACTAAAGTTATTGCTTTAAATTGGAAAAACCTATGGTCAAAGTCTCTTTTTAAAAAGTTAAACAGCTATTCTTACAATTACACTCATGTAACTGCAGAGAAAATGCTCTAGCACATAGTAAACATCACTCTTTCGAATGACAGAACAAAGGCCTTGGTTCATTAAGATGTATGGCTTTTTGGTGACTGTTATTACTACCCATAAAGTCATTACTGTTTGACTGAAAAAGGTTTTTACAAAACTCCACTTCCAAAATTAACATTTTTATTAAACCAAGTTAAAAAAAGGTTCACTGTAGAAAAGTCAACAAGGGTTTTAACAAAACCAAAATATACCTTTTTATACAATATACGTATATATTAGCAGCAAACTACTTCTGAGATTTTATGTTCTTTTAGTTATTTATTTTAAAGAAAGCATAAACAATTTATATTAGTATGGAATGTGTACTAATCCACCCTTCATCTTTTATTCTGTGATTTCGGCCTTCTAGTACAAGTTATGATTCTCATTAATGAATACTAAGAACAAACCCAGTCTGACTAAAAAGTAGTGAAACATAGTGGCTGGTAAAATGTGTCTCACTACTTCATAGTCATGCATTATCTTTTGAGAACAAATGAGCACCATAAAAACAGGTAATTGAGAGAGAGAGAGAGAGAGAGAGTGAGTGTGAGTGTGTGTGTGTGTGTGTGTGTGTGTGTGTGTGTGTGTAAACTAATTTCAAGGTATAATAGCAGCCAACTAGACCATTTAGCATTTGACTGTTACTTTGCAAAAATTTGGTGATACACAAAATGTTAATCAAATTAGATAAACACTTCAATCCCATATCATCTATTTTTTAAATCTTAATAAATTCTGTATATGACCTGATAAACTGCATGCATATGTGTGTGTATATTATACATATACATCTTTAGATTTGCTTGAATTTCTCAAATGAGATGAAGCCAAACTTTTCACTTAAAATATATGTAGAACATACAACTGAATCACCAACTCAAAGTTTCCAATTTAAAGTTTCAGCTTAGCTCATTAGAAATACTAGCTATTGAAAATTCTGAAGCCAAAGAGCTGTAATTCAGTTAATATACTTTACACTTATAAATTAGTCAGCCGAACAAACAAGATTTGAAATTACCAACTGCCTGCCAAAGAAATTTTCTGATTATTTCCTTCTGATAGCAAAGAAAAAGAAATATCTTTACGTTGAGCTTTCACTTTTTGAACAGTTAAAATTATTAAAGAAATCTCACTAGTCTTCAAAAATACTAAATGTTATATAAATACCATGTTCTTATAGTTGAATTCTTCAGCTAGAATCTGTATTAAAATTTTTTTCCTTTGGATTGTTTCACTTAGCACTTCAAGTCTCAATTCTGCAATTCTGATAACTGGCTCAGATCTGTTAGGTTCATGTCAATCACATCTTTCAGCACGTGCTATTGCATTTTACCTGTGTACAATAACATCAATGGGAGAAACTGCACCGAATTTCAAAAGCAACTTAAGGAAAAATTCAAGAATATGTAACACAAAAAAGATAAAGTACAACAGGGATTCCCTTTTCACCATTACATTAATGAAATATAATCATTTTAATGCTTTTAAAGGTAATATCCTAACATTCATTTTTTAACTTATCTAAAGAATGAAATTTTTAGATGGCCCATCTTTATTTTTCAATTAAAAAACTAAAACAATAGACTTAATTACTTTTATTAATATACACATCAAGTAATTGAAATGGTGACTGCATGTAGTTTTCTCCTTAAAGATGGCACTTGCAGGTACAAAGATGCACAGGTGTCTACAGCCTTCAGATGTTTACTTGAAAAGATTCTTCAACAGCAGTTTGATACTGGGTTTCCTCGTCTAGCTGAAGATTCTAAAAATGGTAATATTAATATGTCAATAGGAAAAACAAAGTACACTATTCAATACTTTGCCCAATATATTACACATCTTGCCATACACTACACATACTTGAAACAGTTTATGTTACAACATATATCCTTTATTTATTTGTTTGTTTATTTTTAACCTCACCCAAGGACCTTTTCTCAGTGCTTTAAGACAGAGAGAGAGAGAGAGAAAAAGAGAGAAAGAGAGATACATTGATTAGTTGCCTTCTCATATGCACCTCAAGAGAGGATTCAAACCCATAATCTGGGCAGGTGCTCTCACCGGGAATCAAACCCTAAACCCTTCAGTCTTTGGGACAATGCCCCAGCCAACTGAGCCACACCACCCAGGGCCAACATATATCCTTTAAAATACAGGATTTATATATATAAACTTTAATAAAAATTAAATTTAATTGTAATAATTTAGGAATAATTGATGAACAACAGAAAGGAGCAGCAGAGAATGAAAATCATTAAGTTAAAAATGCCTTATGGTAAGACATTAATTCAAAGTATAGTTAAGGGCAACCCACAATCATAAATTTTGTGTGATCTCTAAAAAAGAATCAAAATGTGTGAAGATAAATTCATTTTAAAGAAAATAAGCTTTTATTGAATGAAGAGTTGAATAACAGCTTCTTAACCATCACATGAAGCTAAAAACTATAGCTCAAACTTAGTTATACTACTGTTCTTAACTTAAAAAATTCTATTTGCTATCAATTACATCCTATGGGTTTGTTTTAGAATAGGCTTCCACCTAGCAATCTCAAATAATTAAAATTACATATTTTTCTGTGGCAAGGTAACACAATCTGCCAAATTCCCAAAAGTGGCTCACCAAATATGTTTCTGTTTTTCCAAGTACACAGTCCTCCAGACAAAGTAACTTTTTTTACAATGAGAATTTTAAAATAATCTACAATTACTTCATAAAAATAGTAACATTATAAGAGTATACCTGAATTTTACACGCATTTGAATTGTTATTTTGAAATAGTATGATTAAAAATGCAAATTCCACAAAAGAAACATTTATTAAAAATTATGCAACCTCAACACTGGGAAGGTAGAGAAAAATGTAAATTCTATCCATGCCATTGTCAGAGTTGCATGTGCCTGTACTTACTACCTAAACTTGAAAGTAAGTATCAGCTATTCTTTGTCAAAATTAATTTTAAATTAGTAAAGGTTTAATTCACTAAAGAGAATAAAAAACAATATCACAATAAGTAAAACAAAAGCCATATCTAATTTTTTTTTTTTTAAATTATCATGACACATTTGGGAAACAGAAATAACTGCATGTTTTCCTTTGGAGATCCATTTTTACATTACGTAACTTTCCTCACTCACCTTGTTAAGGCAGTCAGTTAAGGCCAGAATCCACCATTCAACCTCCCTTTACTTGATAATTAAGCTCCCTCATTTTTAAAAATGTGTCTCAAATGCTACATATATCTATTATAATGGGTTTAGCAAGCAACTTACATTACATGAAAAATACATCCTCCTTAATCTGTTGTACCAATTTTACTTCTCTAGCAATTACAATGTCCCCTTATACAGTTTTCATAAAAATCATTTTGTTAATCTAAGGGTTTGCCCTTCCTCTTATTATTTATCTCTCCGGTACAGAAAGTGGACATTATATTGAACTTCTTGCCACTTTCGCAAACCAAAATTCACCTATATTATTACAGAAACAATAGAACTTGCTCTGTAACCATCCAATATGATACAACAGCTTGCCTTAAAATTCAAGTCTAGATTGAAAATGTTAATTTAACTTGAATACTTAAACAGTATTTTCTTAATCTTAAAGAATTCACTTACCACAAATTCTCCATAATCAAACTGATGTCTTTGATTTAGATGACTAACGAAATTTCTAGTAATCTGGCTAGGATCTCCCCAAGGAAGAGACACACAAATAGGACATGTCTATGAGAAACAATGTTTTAAATAAAAAACAATGAAAATAAAACATTATAATTATTGAAAGTATTTAAACAAAGACTTATAAAACTTAAAATTGCCTACATGAAAGGCATTCTAGAACCAAATTCCATGACTAGATCATTCGTCAACCAAATTACCTTAGATAAATTACACTATTCTAACACAACACGATAAAAAGGAAACCTTATACATTCTATTACTTACATCTCAAATTACACAACTGTTTCAAGAGAAACACCACATCTAGCCTTTTAACAATACTACTTGTAACGGCAGTTATCATTAACCAGTATGTAATCTCATTTGAACCACACAACAACCATGATATAATTATTATAAGCCTTAATTCACTTATAAGTAAAGTGAAAGTGTAGTAAACTTTAAATTGCATCCTTAAGGTTTTAAATGAAGTACATCTTTAAAAAAGTATAGATGACATTCTGAAATGAAATAAAAAAGAACTTCAGTAATTGGACTCTAGCCAAAGTCTACCTTATGTTGAATATAACATATAAACAAATAGAAATTTGCTTAAAATGCAATATAAAACAAATAAAATCTCTTAAATATGAGGTTTTTTTCCTAGAGACATCTTTGGCACATTTGTTTATTTAATAGTAATTGACCCTGTCCTAATGAGCAAAGTCGGTGGTATGTCTCCTTTAGTGCTATGAGACAAGTTTAAGGGCATCCTCAATAGTTACTGAGGCATAGTTTTTCACAATTTTTTTCTAGTACATCCATTAAAACTGTATAGATATATCTAAAATCCTTATTTATATCATTCTATTCCTATTTCTGAAGCAAATACTTATATGTCAAAATGTATAGCTGAAAGGGCAGTACTCTTCTAGCTCACTTTCTCCTGTTTCATCCACAATTGAAATCACTTACCTGTGAAACTCATGTTCCAAATGAGGAGTTGTAGGATCATTAACACAATGTTGGAATCCTGCACTCTGCACTATCTCCTTCATTCATCAAAAAGGTCTCACCACTTTCTTACACACTCTCAAAATGGTATCAAAAAGATATATATGCATCAAAAAGTAAGTATGATTCCTTTCCTTCCTTGCTGTATGAATTCATATACTAGATTCTGCAAGGATACAAATTAAAAATACCTAGTGACTTTATTTTTACTAATAGTTTTCACCTACAACATATCCACCTGACCAGATCGAGCTGACTGCATCCTATAGACCAAGAAACTAAGAAACCCCAGGGCTAGGTAACAAACCCCCAATTCACCTTTCATTACTTCACTCTTCTCTAGATTATTCTTCTACATTATCCTCACAATAAGTATCTCCCTTTCATAAGTAAATTACTGAAATCTCATTTTACTTCAAATATTTCATCCTTTACTGAAAAAAAACCCTACCTTATTGATAATGCCCCTTCCAAATTTAAATCAACTACCTTCCCTGTTGTACACATGAAGTGAAATAAATGGAACAGCATACATAAGCTGAAGACTATCAGAAACATATGTACTTACCACAGGAACTATCTGAAAAAGGTGATTACTGTTACAGTGATCCAGTAAACGCTGTCTGGTAAAATTTGATTCTTGACACAAGGGACACTTAAACGTGGGATGCCCAGAAGAACTATAAAACAATTTAAAATGAAGCATACTTAATTTGATATCACAGATCACAACATAGAAATAATGCTGTCCTATTTTTTAACCAATTACTACAAGGGTTTTTTTTTAAGTTACAATTATTATACTATTCAAAGATTCTCTATTTTGGAGGGGAAAAAAACCTATGTTTTTAATAAATAATCTACAACCAATATTCCCAATCTCATTTTAATGTCTCAGTAAACTTTTTCAGGGCACCTCTAGACCAAAACAAAAACTTTGCTCTTCCATATATTAAGTAGTTAGGTCCAAACAACTTAATTTGGTCTTTCGTGTGAGGCCAACAGATATGACTGCATGCACCCTAAAATTTTTTAGTATCCTGTGGTGTCCCCATTTGGAAACCTCCTATACCTAGGAACTTAATTTTGAAAAGACTTCCATCAATATCTTTCATATATCCCAGTCTCTGGGACTTTAACACACAAAATTCCTAGGAAAAAGTAAAAAACAAAAAAAAAGCACTGATAAGCAAACTGATCAGTATTTCAAAACATTTTGAGGGTCATGCATCACTAGGTTTTAATACCTCTGAATTCAGCAAGGGACAGTTCGATCTTGACAACTCTACCTAAATTATGCATGAAAGAAACCTAACCACAGTGAAAGAGGATAGCTAAAAACTCTTCTAATTTTACATGATCCATAAAAGCAGCAACTGCATCATTTATTTCTAAACTACCAAGTTCCATTCCAGTTTGTGTCTGGTGATTTAACTGAATAAAAAGTTTTTAACTTAAAAATCTATTATTATAAAATAATAGATACTATTTACTAAAGTAGCAGGATTTTCAAAAGCTTACCTTGTATTCTCTTGATAAGTTTCTATGTTATCAGATGTGGATGTTTCACTCCTATTACTTAAGAAGCATAGGGGGGTAAAGTTAATACATCAAGTAATAAAACACATTACAGATTCATCAACTTGAACAGCCAATGAAGACTAGTTCAAATCTGTTTTAAAAGCCTAAACTTCAAATTGTTCTGAACAACAAAATACATGGCATTAACTACTTTTCAAATAAATTCTGATTAAGACTGCTTACTGTGTTCTTATTCATGTCCTTCAAAAGGAATTTATGCAGTTACAAAAGTATAAGGACATAGAATTTTGCAGAATTACCTTAAATGTACAGCATAACACTTCCCTGGGTCCTTTATTTTTTTTATTTTTATTTTTTTAGGAATGATTTTTTTATTATTATTTTTTAAATTTATTTTCTTCATTTTTTCAAATACATTTGTCTCTGCCTTTCCCCCACCACCTTCCCCTGCCCCCACCCCCCGCTCCCTCAATCCTTCCCCTTTGGTTTTGTCCTTTAGACCTTGCTACACATTCCCCGACCCTCCCATTCCCTTCCGTTTCCCCCATTCCCCCCCTCCCTCCATCCCTCTTGTCTCTGTTTGTTTCTTTTCCTTTCAGTTTTGTTGGTCTTATTTTCCTTGCATCTTTGTATTGTTGGTTAGGGTCCCCTTACAGGTGAGATCATATGGTATTTGTCTTTCGCCCCCTGGCTTATTTCACTTAACATTATGCTCTCTAGTTCCATCCATGCTGTCGTTTGTGGAAAGCAGTGTGGAATTTCCTCAAAAAGCTGAAAATGGAACTGCCTTTTGATCCAGTGATTCCTCTGCTGGGACTATACCCTAAGAACACCAAAACGCTAATTCAAAAGAACCTATGCACCCCAATGTTCATAGCAGCACAATTTACAATAGCCAAGGGTTGGAAGCAACCTAAATGCCCATCAGTAGATGATTGGATCAAAAAACTATGGTGCATTTACACAATGGAATACTACGTAGCAGAAAGAAAAAAAGAATTCCCTGGGTCCTTTAGACTTTAAGATTAAGAATACCTCTGCCTCTATCCAAGCTAGTTAAGTATTTGAATGCTGAGGTAGGCTCAAGAATTCATGAACTTTTTGGATTGTAACTAGGATATGGTTTAAGGATGTGGCCTTCAAAGTAGAATAGGTTTAAAAAAATATTTGAACGTTCATTTTCCAAAAAGAAACTAGGCTCTCCAACATTTAATATGTAGAACAACCTGACATCCTCATTCAGACCCCATGCCAGAGTCATGTGTCATATGCATTATTAGAGGACTCCTGAGGGAAGAGTGAGTAATCCATACAGGGACATTACAGAATTTCATCAATGTGGTCAATTATACAAAAACAAAGCCTTTCAACAGCAGAAATTTTAAAATAGAAATGAGATAACTAGTGAACAAAAAATATACAAGGCATATATACCACATAGGTTTAAAAGAGTTGTTAAACTTAATGACTGGTTATTCATTTTTCTTTCACAAAAAAACAAGCCGCACAGTTGGTCCTCCTCATCCAAGGGTTTTGCATCCACAGATTCAACCAACCATGGACTGAAAATATTCAGGAAAAAAAAATCTCAGGAAGTTCCAAAAAAGCAAAACTTGAATTTGCCACACACGGAGCACTACGCTAAATCCATGTGAATGATGTAATGCATAGGCAAAGCCTGCTGTAGCCTATCTGCAAATATTGGTTATAGGCAAACACCACAGTATTTTATATAAGAGACCTGAGTATCCACAGACAGTGGTATTCAAGGAGTGTCCTGGAACCAATCTCCCTGACAGATGTTCTTTCCTTTTTTAATTTTCTTTTCTTTTCTTTTCTTTTTTGGTTTCTTTTTCATAAGCTACATATGACAAGGTGTATTTAGTGCAAAGGCACCCTTCCAATAACAGTTCCCTTCTGTGACAGATAACAATGTTCTTTCCACACATATTCTAAGCCAGGTATAGAAGCAAACTCCCATTTAATACTCAAATAAGAGACTATTAAGCCACCAATTTTGTACCTTTCTGGCAGATTAATGTCTCCTAGATATAGGTAAAGATGGCATTTTAACAATGTGGAGACTAAAAACTGCTTTTTAAAACAAACTGAAACTATGAAAAAGATGTTATATATAATTTTGTTACCAAAAACAATATGTCACCCATTTATTAAAATCTCACATCTATATATTTAAACTTGGTAACAGATTTTTCTACTCAGTTTTTAAATTATCCATATAAATATAATCATTGAGTTTTAACATGTCCTTTAAAAATATAACAACCAAAATAATTGGTTTGTAGAAACACCTGTAACATCATCAGGAAAGATGAGATTGAAAATGTTAGTAATCTCAACCTATGACATAATTCTTCCATTTGGATCTATATTTTATTGTGTGGTAGATATCTTTTTCAACCATGACAGTCATCAAAACAAGTATCAAAGTCAAGTCAACTTAGATCCAAATCTCTAATTACTGTATCACAGTGTTACACTAAGATTTTTAAAAATTTAAGAAAACATAGTCAACAATATTGTCAGTAAAAATATTAACAAAACTAAGAATAAAATATATTTTATATCATTAAATAAAGCAAAATTTATTTTTAAAATAACATTTCATCTTCACTTAAATTTTACATTTTATAATGTACATAAAGTATCAGTACCATAAAATACATGCATAGTTTTTATATAAACACATATTCTAGCTGTACTTGCTCAAAATTTTTAACTGATGAGGTATGCAATCACAAAATTCTGATTTAAAGAAAATTAATATCAAAATTAATGTCCTTTTTAAATACTATCTCTCTTCCATCTCCTATTATAATTCTCTATTTTCCATTATTACTATCATTATATCAATGTAGTCTTTCCTAATCATCCTATATCATGCCTTAACTACTACTGGTAGCCTATTCATTTACTTCAGAAATGTCTGAATGGGTTCAACAACAACAAAAAAATCTATTACTGACACCATATTTTCAATTAAAAGTAGACATGTGAGGCTGCCTCAAACTAAAAAGCTACTACATAGCAAAGGAAACAATCAGAAAAATGAAAAGGCAAAATACAGAATAGAAGAAACTATTTGCAAACCATGTACCTAATATAGGATTAGTATCTAAAATACAAAAGGAACCCCTACAACTCAATAGCAAAGAAACTAATTACAAAAAGGGTTAACAACTTGAATAGACATTTCTCTAAAGATGAAACACAAATAGTCAACAGGTAGATGAAAAGATGCTCAATGTCACTAATCATCAGAGGAATGTAAATCAAAACCATAACAAGATATCATCTCACATCTGTTATGAGAGCTATTAAAAAAAAAGACAAGTGTTTGTGAGGATGTGAAGAAATTGGAAGCCCTGTATGCTGTTGGTAGGAATGCAAAATAATGCAGCTACTATTGAAAATACACCTATGATATGATCTAGCAATCCCCCTTCTGGGTGTTCATCCAAAAGTACTGAAATCAAGACCCTGAAGAACTGCAGCTCTATTCGCAATAGCCAAGATTTGGAAAGAACCTTATGAATAGATAGAGAAAATGTGGTATATAAATACAATTAAATATTATTCATCCTTTAAAAAAAGAAAAGAAACCCTGCAAATGTGACAGCATGAATGAACCTTGGGGACATTATACTAAGTTAAGCCAGTCACAAGACAAATACTGCATGATTCTACTTACATGAGGTATCTAAAATAGTCAAACTCTTAGAAGCAAAGAATAGAATGATGGCTGCCAAGGGCAAAAGGAAGGAGGAAGGCGAAATGAGTTGGTAATCAACATGTATAAAACTTCAGTTATGCAAAATAGGGTCTAGAGATCTGCTGTACAACATGGTGCCTATAGATAATACTATACTGTACAGTTAAAAATTTTTAAATTTTTTTAATCTGTTAAAGGATAGATATTTCATGTTAAGTATCCTCACTATGATAAAAAACAAAACTATGTATGATTATGTCACTCTATGCTAAATTAAATTGTGATATTCCCTAGAGCAAAGTTTTCAAAATACTAAAGTATCTTATTTCTAGTCTTTTTAGAATAAAGAAAAATCTCAAGTTCTATATTTACATTTTACAAAACAGCAAAAAATTTCAATTTTGAGTACAAAAATATATTTGCAATACCTGTAATAAAAGATTATTATCTAGAATATATACAAATGCCTATAAATAAGAAAAGGGCATTTTATCTAATGCTGTAACAGATTCCTTAACAGTTATTTAGCCACTTTGGCCCTGGTTGCTATGGCTCAGTGGATTGAGCACCAGCCTGAGAACCAAAAGATCACCAGGTCAATTCCCAGTCACGGCACATGCCTGAGTTGCATGTGAGGCAACTAATTGATGCATCTCTCACACATTGATGTTTCTCTCCCACTTCCCCTCTCTCTGAAAGTAAATAAAATCTTTTAAAAAATAAAAAAGAATACTAATTTTAAAAAAAAGTTCAACACCTTGGCGAGAAATCTATTAAGAACAATGGAAGAGCTATATTTGGACTATGAACTTACTGATCCCCAGTTATTAATGTTTACAAAGAATCAAGATTAGTAGGAAAAGCCTGCAAACAGACCAAAACAATATCCAAAGAAGATAAAATAGAAATGTGTTTAGGTTTATCAATGATTACATGCATCTTCCTTTTCTCCTCCTCCTCCTCCTCACTTCTAGGGGCTAAAGAAAACAGAAAGATACATTCTTACATGTTAAAAGCAGAATTTTATTGTTATGAATTAGAAATGGCCTTAGTAAAACATCAGCACTCTTATATAATTATTATGAGAAACTACCCATGCCAAGGCAATAATTTGTTCAATGTCCTCCAAGAGTTAATAGTCTAATAGTTCTACCCTAAATGATCTGACTGAAATCAGTGCTAGCTGATTTTGAACCACTGAACTGGAAGTTATACTACTTATATATATGGAAAAGGAGGTTACGTCTTTATAACTCATCTTTCTATATTCAATAACATGTAGAGTATGCCCAGTAGTTCAGAA